CTAGATCTGTAGCACCCTTTTGCACCAACTCCCCCTCCCCCCAATATATGCACTGGTCCGTGGCTGCTCCTTGAGGACATTTCTGCTTCAGGGGCTGTGCACTTGTTCCCTGGATCTTCCAGGATAACCATTTCCTTATAGAGCTGCACAGCCTTGTCGCCTCACCTCCTCAGATCTTTACTCAAATGTCACACTTAACAGGGACATTTCCTTGGCTATCTAAATTGCAAAGCCCCACTCCCACATACATTTTCTGAATATCCTATCCCACTTTTTCTCCTTCTTATCAACCTATAATATGAGAGATAGCAACATCAGTGATGAGAGAGTATCATTGATCAGTTGCCTCCTGCAGGCCCTACACGGGATTGAGCCTGCAATCCTGGGCATGTGCTTTTGACGAGAATCAACTCGGGACTCTTCAGTCCACAGGCCAAACCAACTAGGGCTAACATGCTGTATATTTAGTCTCCCCCATTAGATAGGAAGCTTCATGAAGGCAGATAGTTCTGTTTTGTTAATTGCTATATCCTTAGTATAATGCATAGTACTTATTATGCAGTTGGTGCTTAACACATTTATTTGACTAAATGGGTAAAGAGGAGTTTTATTCTTGAATTATCTCATTGTCATGAATTTCTGATCACGATTGGTTGTCCTTGGAGGTGTGGAATGGATTTTTACTAGGATTTTATAACGTATTTATTGGAAGAAATTGAGATTTTTTTCTTCTGTCAGTTCTTGCCACATTTCTCTTAACAGAAGTCTTGGGCTTTCAGGTAATTGAATAAAGCATTTTGAAGGCAGAGAGGATGAAGTGTGGGGGAACTTTGTTTGGCATTGGTGGTCTTAGAGGAAGATTACCTCACATCTCATGTGGGTAGATTTTTACCAACTGCTTCAGGCTCTTTCCTTGAGATTTGTTCATATTCCCAATGAGAGAGATCACCATCCTTACCACTTTGGCTCCAGAGAATTGAACAAGCTGGTTCCACTTTGAATTTTTCACTAGACTGAAGATATTAGTATTTATACTCTGGGCAATATGGGTTAGGCATTTTTCCCCCTCATTCATGTAGAGGCAGTTGAGCTAAAAAAAAAAAGAATAACTTTCTCTAATAATGGTGAAGTGTTTGGTAATTGGCAACATTTGATCCTTTTAATCTCAATTTCATTTTGTGGTCATTTTTATTTTTTATTTATTTATTTAAAAAATATATATTTTATTTATTTTTTTACAGAGAGGAAGAGAGAGGGATAGAGAGTTAGAAACATTGATGAGAGGGAATCATCGATCAGCTGCCTCTTGCACACCCCCTACTAGGGATGTGCCTGCAACCAAGGTACATGCCCTTGACCGGAATTGAACCCAGGACCCTTCAGTCCGCAGGCTGATGCTCTATCCATTGAGCCAAACCAGTTTTGGCATTTGTGGTCATTTTTAGCAACTAAATTCTATATTGAGTCTGAAGATAAAAGAAGCAGGCCCCCTGAGTTCTGTGGATTATCCCTCAGGAGGAATTATCCCTCCTTTTTTTTGTTTCTTTTTTTTGCTGTTAATCCTCCCCTCAGATATTTTCCCATTGATTTTTAGGGAGAGATGGAGAGAGAGAAACAGATGTGAGAGGGATACATTGATTGGTTGCCTCCTGCATGCGCCTGGAGTCTACGGTGCCCTTGACCAGAATCGAACCCCGGACCCTTCAGTCCGAGGGCTGATGCTCTGTCCACTGAGTCAAACCAGCTAGTGCCCTTTTTTGTTTCTTGATTGATTCATTTGTTACTTTAATTGACCTTCTGGCCAGAACGGCCTGGATAAGATTTCTCTTTGAGGCAGTCCTGTCCACTATTTTTCAGATAAGGAAGGCAAAGGGGTGAGATAGTGCTTTTAACTCTGTGGGAATGCTGGTGGCAAAGCCTAAGATTTTTGCTTAACACTTTACCAGGACATTGAAAGCTGCCAGGCCAAAGAGAATGGTGTGTGTGTGTGTGTGAGAGAGAGAGAGAGAAAGAGAAAGAGAGAGAGAGATTGGGTGTTTTGTATCTATTGGACTGGACCTGATTTGGATATTATTAGTGTAAAGAAGTAACAGCATCAGAAATAAATTAGTATTCATTTGGTGAATACTTTCTGACATAATTTAGGCAGATTTATAGAAGCTTCTGTCAGACTTCTATTGTCCCCTTTTTAATCCTTTCACAAAGTTTCTAGAAAGTCTTTCTGAGGCTGCAGAGATAAACAGTTTGTGCCATGTTCTTACCTCTTATAGGTAAACGAGGCCCAGTGCACGAATTCATGTACAGGTGGGGCCCAGCCAGCCTGGCCCTAATCGGGGTGGATCTGGGCGGGGCCTGATGGGAGGAGGAGATGGTGAGAGATTGGCTGGCCCACCCACCCGGATTGGGGCCCAATTAGGGCTGGGCCAGTTGTGGGGAGGGGCCAAGGGCGATTGGTCGGCGGGCCTCATCCCGGATTGATGTTGGGGGGGTTGATTGGGGGTGAGGCTGACAGTGGGGAGGGGCTGTGAGCTGGCCGGTCCCATCCCGGAATGGTGTGTGTGTGTGTGTGTGGGGCCCATTGGGGATCAGTGGCCTGGGGGAGGGGCCATGGGTGGTTGGCCAGCTGGCCCTGTCCCTGATTAGAGTGGGGGGGCTGATCGGGATGGAACTGGCTGGGGGGAAGAGCTGTGGGCCAATCGCCATGGTGGAGCCCATTGGAGGTGGGGCTGGCCAGGGGGAGGGGCTGCAGGGGCTGCAGGGCAGCCAGCTGCCCCTCCCTCCCATCAGGCTGGTTTGCTGGCTGCAGTGGGCGTCATAGCCACTGGTCGTTCAGGTCATTATGGCTTTCCTGCCACTGGCTTTTATATATATATAGATTCTGAGTGCTGACAACGGTTCAGAGTAGGTAACAGTTTCTGAATGATGCAGTGCTTATTCCTGTGTCAGATCTCTTCAGGAACTCAAGGAAAGCGTTCAGGAAAAAGCATATTTGGGGGAAAGGATAAAAAGTGTTTTATTTTGGTTACATGGTCCCAGGAGGTATAGAGGAGAGAATTCTATGAAACTGTGTGTGTGTGGGGAGGTTGCAGGGGAGGGGGGGTGTTAAAGTTTTTCTATGCCTCCTTGTAAGATTGGATAAGGGACTCTTGAGTGTTCCTCTGTGGAATGTGCTACCAATTTACAAGTAGGAAAAATAACTGGACTCATGGCTTGAATATGTGTACATGAATACAGTTGGTGCGTCTAATTTTAGAGACTTTCTTCATACAGTATTTCCTTGCAGTTGTAACCTTCTTACCCTCTGTGTAGAAAACATTCCACTTAATAGTTTTTTAGTGCTTAACTTTTTTTTTTTAATATATTTTATTTTTATATATTTTATTGATATTTTACAGAGAGGAAGGGAGAGAGATAGAGAGCTAGAAACGTCGATGAGAGAGAAACATCGACCAGCTGCCTCCTGCACACCCTCTACCCGCAATCAATGTACATGCCCTTGACTGGAATCAAACCTGGGACCCTTCAGTCCGCAGACTGACGCTTTACCATTGAGCCAAACCGGTTTCGGCTTTAGTGGTTAACTTTTGTTCTTACCAATTTAGCGTTGTAGTACCTGTTCCACCTCTCCAGTGAAGTTACCATGTTCATTCCTTCCTATGTTTGAGTTTATTTGTGAAAACAAGTATAGATAGGAAAGATTTTTTAAACAATCTGTTTTAACTCCTCTTTGACTTCCCTTAGATTACCTTAGCATATATGTTTTCTGCACACTTAAAAAAGTTGATGTGAAAGTCCATAATTATAATCTGCAGTGATTTTATTATTTTTATATGGGATGTATGAAAGGAAAGATTCTGGGATGCTTCCTAAATCCAGGTGTTCTTTTTGCTTTTCTGCAGGATTTCTTGTAAGTTGTTACAGTCCAGGTGTTAGAGCCCATACTGAGAAAGCTATTTCAGCTTCTTTTTTTTTCAGCTTCTTGTTTTGATAATTAGTTTCCTAGAGTACTTTCCTGTGCTTTAAAAAAATATTTTTAAAAATTGATTTTAGAGAGGAAGGGAGAGGGAAAGAGAGATAGAAACACCAGTGATGAGAGAATCAATTGGCTATCTCCTGCACTCCCCCTACTGGGGATCAAGCCTGAAACCTGGGCATGTATGTGACCAGGGTCTCAGACCACGACCTTCTGGTTCATCATAGGTTGATCCTCAACCACTGAGCCACACATGCTGAGCTTCCTGTGCTTTTTAAAAAAGAACTGATCAAATTGGGAACCCCAGCTTATAGATGAGAGAAGTTAAGGAGAAATGTGTGAAAGCTTTATGTAGTCATGCCTCTCAATAATCAAAACACTTTATATTTTTAAAGGACTAATTTCATTCTATTTCTTTTTAGTTTGTTAACCACAAAAGCATCACAAATCATTTCACTTCCTTTAATTACTTGTCACACTGTGACTTTCTCAATTGTCAAAGACTGATTATTTCCTAGGAAATTATTTTCAAGCCTTTCTGGGTATTTTCTTCTGGGGGGAAAAAAAAAGAAGCTGGTTATTAAGTGCTTTCGTAAGGTCTCTTCCTTAATTTAGACCAATGTTTTGAGTCTTTCATTTATCTATAGGCATTTATAGTATATTTTATAGTGTGTTTTTTTTGTTTTGTTTTTTTTAGTGTTGAAGACTTCAAAATCTTTGCAAGCAAATAAAAACTATAGTTTTGCACTCCTATCGTTATTCTAAAGTTCTTATCCTATAGAGCAAGAAATGTAAAGATAAGTGAGATAATCAGCAGGATTTAAGAGAACTCTTAAAAATTTCTTTTGCGAGCCAAGTTTTTTAAACTTAAACTTCTAACACCACTTCTTCAAAATAGACTTGCCCAGGCCGTGGTATTTTGTGGAAGAGCCACACTCAAGGGGCCAAAGAGCTGTGTGTGGCTCGAGAGCTGCAGTTTGCCGACCACAGGGTTAGAGCATCATCCTAATTTGTCCAAGGTTGCAGGTTCTATACCCAGTCAATCAGAGATACTGCAGCCTGATGAACACTGAGCTAGAGGAATGCACAAGGTGCTTTATTTTTATTTTTTTTATTATTTTAAAAAATATATATATTTTATTGATTTTTTACAGAGAGGAAGGGAGAGAGATCGTTAGATACTACACTTGATCTTAGCCAAAAGGCCGAGAAGCGATGAGAGAGAGTTAGTTAGAAACATCAATGAGAGAGTCATGGATCAGCTGCCTCTTGCACACCCCCTACTGGGGATATGCCCGCAACCAAGGTACATGCCCTTGACCGGAATCGAACCTGGGACCCTTCAGTCCACAGACTGACGCTCTATCCACTGAGCCAAACTGGTTTCAGCTTTATTTTTTATTAAATTATTATCTGTGTACATATTTTAACATTGCCCCCCACCCCACCCCAATACCACAAGGTGCTTTAGAAGCACAGTGGAGATTTGGAAAGATTTGGGGTGATAATCCAGCTGATTCTTGAAGGGCTGACAACAGTTAGCCAGGTGAAATATGAGGAAGAGAGTCTAGGGTGGAACTGCATGTGTAAAGGGCGGAGGTGTACAGCAGATGCCTTTGACAGATTTCAAGGAGTAGGATGTGTCTAAACATAGGATCTTTTATGGGGTTAGAGAAAAGGCTAGAGAGATAGGGAGGGGCCTGATCTTGAAGGCCTTTATTTGGTAGGCTAAAAAGTTTGAATTTTGTCTTAAACTATGAAAAGTATTGAAGGATTTTGGTTTTTTTTAAAGATCACTTTTAGCAATTTAGCAACTAGACAGAGAAATAGACTGGAATCAGGAAATAAACGAGTCCAGTTATGTTTAAGGGAAGTCAAAATAATCCAGATAAGAGGTAGGGTCTGAAGTGACCCTGCCAGGGATGAACGGATTCAGGAGATATTTAGAGAGTAGATCTGTTAGACTTGGAGGTATGTCTGTTTGTGAGTTTGGAGGTGAAAGTGATGAGTTTTGGGTGACTCCTGGGCTGGATGGTGACATTATTTATGTTAGGCAAACAGGAAGTTTCTTATTTGGGAGTAAAAGTGAGGTGTTTGTTTTTTGATTGGTTGAATTTGAAGTACCTGTGAAACTATGTGGAAATGACTAACAGGAAGTTAGGTGTACCAGTCTGGAGTTGGAGAGAGATATTGGAGCTGGAGAGACATTTGGGAGTCAACAGTATAAACTTTGTAGTCATCTAAGGATCATGTCAAGACAGAAGAGCTGAAGACTGGGAACCTTGCAGAATACTAACGGCGGTAATAGAGCCCTGGAAGAAAATTGAAGAGGCCAACAAGGTAGATGGAGAACCAATAAAGTGTGTGTGATAGCATGTTAGAAGAGAGAGATTCAAGAAGGAGGCAGACAGTCATTTCAGGTGTGGAGTGAAGGCCTTAATGGCCATTACCTGAATCAGTTATTATATTGGTGGTTGCAAATATTGATTCTCTCATTCCTTCTACATTTACTGATTGGTGTTGCTCTGTAAAGAAGAGCTTAATTTCTTTTTGTTTTGTTTTTGCTTTTGAGAGTCAACTCTATAGATTTGAGGGTCACTCTATATACTTAAAAAAAACCTTGGGCGCTGCTGGTGGGCTCAGTGGTTGAGCATCGACCCATGAACTAAGAAGTCACTGCTTTGCCCTGGCCTGTTTGGCTCAGTGGATAGAGCATTGGCCTGTGGACTAAAGGGTCCCAGGTTTGATTCTAGCCAAGGGCACATGCCTGGTTGTGGGCTCGGTAAACACCCCCCCTCCTCCCCCCAGTCAATGATTCTCTCTCATCATTGATGTTTCTATCTCTCTATTTCTCTTTTTTCCTCTCTGAAATCAATTAAAAAAAAAAAAGTCACTGTTTTGATTTCTGATCAGGAGATAGATCAGGGTTTGCAGGCTCAATCTGCAGTAGGGGGTTGTGCAGGAGGTAGCCAATTAATGTTTCTCTCATCGATGTTTCTATCTCTATCCCTCTGCCTTCTGCTCTCTCTAAAATCAATAAAAACATCTCGATATGTTCCAATCCATTGCTCTACAGATTAAAAACACTGACTATAGTCTTAGCTGGTTTGGCTTAGTGGATAGAAAGTCGGCCTATGGACTGAAGGGTCCCAGGTTCTATTCCGGTCAAGGGCACATGTCTAGGATGTGGGCTCAGATGTGCAGGAAGCAGCTGATCAATGATTCTCTTTCACCCTTGATGTTTCTCTCTTTCCCTCTCCCTTCCTCTCTGAAATCAATAAAAATATATTTAAAAAAAAACACACGGACTATATTCAATTTTACAGTAATTGTCATAGTTTGGTCAATGGGAGCCTCTTCAAACTGACTCCTATGCTCTTTTGACATGAACAGGTCAAGTTTTGAGCGCTTGCTTACATTACACTCTGGCACAAGATGTTTGAAGTTCACAATATACTTTACTTGCCCCAGACCTGGAATCAATAATTTCTGCAAGGAACCTTGATTCCTTTAGTGGGGAACTGCTTCTCATTCTTAATGTTCTGTTCTTAGCTATCTTCATGGGATCAATTATTTCCAGTTAAAAAAAAAAAAAAAAAAAAAAAAAAAAAAAAAAAAAAAAAAAAAAAAAAAAAGAGTGAACTCTAGACCTATCAATAAGACCCAGATGTACTTAATAACAAAATGTCTAAATTGAATTATTTCTCGGAATGAAGTGAGCTACAGGCAGTGATAATGACTTGCTAAGGGAGATGGATATTGAGCAGAAAATTGGTATGTTTCAATGCTCCTCACCTTACAATGTAGTTTCTGCCCAAGAAACTGATCAAATGTTGAAAATATCATAAGTCAAAATGCATTTAATACACCTAACCTATTGAACATCATAGCTTAGCCTCTCCTACCTTAAATGTGCCAGAATATTTAGACATTAGCCTATAGTTGGGCAAAATCACCTCGCTGCCACTGCTCACCATCATGAAAGAGTATCATACTACATACACATTGCTAGTCCAGGGAAAGATCAAAATTCAAATTATGATTTCTAGTATCACTTTCATACCATAAAGTCGAAAATCATAAGTCAAAGCACCGTAAGTTGGGGATTATTTGTATTGGGGTTTCCCTCCCCCCTAACATGGTGATGACATGTGAAGGTGAAAATAAGTTTTCATGTCCTCTTGCTCTCATGCAATCCAGGCTTTTCCTTACTGTGGTGTAATCACTTACGGGTTGTTTCCCTCTTTGTATCTTCTTTTGTCTGAATTAAAATCTCCTTAGAGAGGGAAACTTGTAAACCAGAGCTTTCATACTTTGTGCTTTGAATCTAAACTTGCACACACACACACACACACACATTACATATTGGTCTGTGAATATAGTCTAGGAAACTGACTTGAAGTTAGGGTGTTTGTATTGAACATGGAGTGTGGTTTTAGATTTAAGAAAATCTAAAATAGAATTAGCCTTAGAATTGGTATCTGATATACCCCCAACCGATTATGGTCCAACAGAGTGAGAATGTCCTGCTCTAGGATACTATATGAAACCAGATATGTCAGTCTCCTCTACAGAAACGTTGTTCACTGAAGATGAAACCCATTAAACCTATCTATATGTTCTTTTGATGTGGAAACAGATAAGTAAGCGATAAGGAAAGGAATAGTGTACAATTAGCATGTTCTGTTGAAGATTTAAAATCCTGCCTATTATCCCTGTGGAAATAAACTACATATTTTTAAAAAATATACTAGGGGCCAATGCATGAAATTTGTTTTTCGTGCAGCGGCTTGGCTCGGCCCTTAAAGCCTTCAAGTCCGGAAGGTTGTTCGGACTAATTAGTATATTACATTTTTATTATTATAGTTATTATGGATTTTAGAGAGAGAAGGGAAAGGGATATATAGAGAAGCATCGATTGGCTGCCTTCTGCATGCCCCACTCTGGGCATCTGCCCTGAAACCCTGGACATGTGTCCTGACTGGGAATTGAACCAGCAACCTCTTGGTTCATGGGTCAGCGCTCAACCTCTGAGCCACACTGTCCAGGCTATAGAATATATTTTTGACGAGGGAAATTGTTATAGATAGAAGTTATAGATAATATTTTACTTAACCCAAGTGCTAACCTATCTGTTGATTGTCTAGCTTTTATATTTTATGTGGATGACTGCTTTAAGATTATTTAAGAAATTAGCTGCCTGGCAACTTAAAAGTGCAGATATTAAAATGAATTACATGCTTTCCAACTATTTCTGTTACTTGGCTAAATTTAGATCCATGTAGAGCTCCTGCAGAATCGAAATCTCTGGGGCTTTTAAGTCAAGACAGACAATATTTAGCTTTTCAGATTAAGGAAAAAGAAATATAGCTTCAAATTAATTTTTGCACTGTCACCCAGACTACTTAATTAAGACATAGAGTCCAGTGAAAAGTCAAACTATTCTGAGATTTTTTACTTCACTATTGTTGAAAATTTGTTAGAGCCTAGGCTCTGGGTGTGAAAGGGATGAATCCCCCCCCCCCCCCCCCACCAATGTGTTTTGCTGGAGGCTGTCTACTATTTTCCCCAGTCTCTTCAAATTTTGCTTGACAAGTATAGTTCTTATACTTCACTTGGATGGATGAGGTAATGCATCTGAGCTAGATATCAGGTGAGCATTACACTTGGGTACTTGTAGGTGAATTTTATGACACGAATTGTTTTGCAACTGTATAAATTCACACGTGTAGAGTGTGTGTGTGTGTGTGTGTGTGTGTGTGTGTGAACAATAAACATCTTTATTACATGAGCTAAGATAGGAGGGAAGGGGATTTATTTGCCTTTCCTGGCCTTGGTTTTCCTCAGCTAGAACTCCAGTTCTTGCCTTCTAGCACATAGCCATCTGCTGTGCCGCATTGGCCTCGCCTGGTCTTGAAGAGGTGCATATAAGAAGTTTGCCCTGCAGGAATTGCGCCTCTAGGAGATGGCTGATTTTGTCATTCTTTTTCTTTTCATCATATTTCTTCTGAATTTTCTTTGATCATTTTTTGTTTAAAACCTCTTTTTCTTCCTCAGAAGTCAGCTAGACTCCCTGCTTTCAGCCCATTGCTACCGAGTGCTGTCAATAAGCACGATGTAGTTCTCTACTGGGGTCTTGGTGTGGACCAGTTCAATGTTGGATGCATTGTAGACAACATTAAAATCCTTGTTTTACATAAAACACTTGGAGTCCCAG